TGCTGGGCTCTTGGGCTCTTGCTTGCTTACTTGCTTGCTTGCTTGCTTGCTTGCTTCCTTGCTTGCTTGCTGCCTGGCTGAGCACAAGAAACGGAAAAATAATACCAAAATATACGGAAAAAAATACCGAAAAAATAGCGCCACCTTGCATGGGCCACACCCCCGACGCTCTGGTCTCAGCCGAGTGTCCTGGTCAGCTGCTTCCATGTCCCGCCGCACATACCTCGGCGAATGGACAACAATCACAGAATCAGAAAAGAACTTCTTTTCACACCGAGGCCTTGGCTCCAGCGGATTGTCTTCAAAAAGCTCGACATCTGAGTCTCGAAGCAGAACGTTTGGAAACACAACCTGGCAAAAAAAAGCACGGGCAATCTATCTTTTCGCGGTCGTGTTGCACTAGCACAAAGCCTGAATCCTCGACCCTAGCGGATCATCAATCCTGACTCAAGCATGTGAGGCACTGCAACCCCCTTTGCCCCTTAGACTCCTCACACAACATCCCAAAAGCTCTCCGTCGAGAAATTTATAGTTGTATGACAGTATGAGTCTATTCCGGGGGACTAACTACTCCACCACGCTTGCCATGGAAAGCGGACCTGCGGCCTCTTCGTTTTTCCACGGTAAAAATGTTCATGGTATATTGTCCGTATGTCGAAACTTTTGTCCCAGTGGTGTACGACCCAACTGCACGTCCGCCTGCCTTTTCACAGATGCCAGACAGGACATTTGGGTCCTCGCACAGGTTATCATTCGAGATGACAAGCTTTGCGTGAAGCTTCCAAGGCCTCAAATGGAGACTGAGGCCAGTGAGTCGCCGCGGTAGAACTGGGAAGACCCGAAAGCTGGGCCACACAAAAGTCGCAGGGCTTGTCTGAATTGCCAGGCCGCTGACGACAGAAACTGAATTCCCTTGGCCACCAACTGATCGTTCTTCTCCTTGAACCGGCCACGAACTAATGCGATGCATCAGCAGATGTTAGTTCTGTATTGCACTCCTGCTGGTCTAGACCCACGAGTAGACTCCAAACCTGACCACATGTTCATGGCGATTTATCCTGCAGACCTGCAAGGTTTTTCCTTGCCTCGTTGACACAAGGAAGCAAGAAGGGCATGAACCTAGCCATGCAGAGCACGGGCAAAGAAAGGCAGCGAGGTGGAAGCAACCCTTGCACTTTCAGTTCATCGGCCCATGAGCAGCAACAGCTTGAGGCCAAAACTCCTCCTGATACTTTTCCTCAGTCCACTGTGTCACTGATAATTCACTGCTTTTTCAGTGTTCTGCCTGGTGATTCTGAATTCCTGATGAGCATCAGCGTAGAGCACGAGACACTCACAAATGGCACCTTTCACCTGCGCTGCGGGGAATCTGCAGGCACAAATCTACGCCGAATCGCGCTGTCGCTCCCCGACCTGCTCAAGGAGTCCCTGTTGCTCTTTTCCAGCCACGGCCTTGAGCAGAGCATAGAGACAAGCCCAACAGCTGTCCACGGATGAACAGGCTCGAAATGAAGGCTCCAATGAAAATTAATAAGCACGAGTATTGCCTTCGACGCATCGCAGAAAGATCACAGAGAACTTAACGCTGAAGATTTAAGCGATGTTACGTTCGTTCCTGGCTTTCGTTACGAATGACAGCCAATTGCCCATGACTCTAACATTTCAAGTCGTCCACCTCATGCTGAAACTTCAGCAGCTCCAGAAAACCTCGGAAGTAGTCCTGCAGCGATATGTCCGGACAATGCTATGATGTCTTTGCTGCTACCTACAACCAGGTGTCCTCTCTGTGATCCTCAAAGAACTCAGGGAGGTCTATAACGTTCAGCGAGAAGAACGCACCTTGGCAGCTGAACGAGAAAGAGCCCTCATGGCAATGGCACGACCAATTCGCGACCGAATTGTAAGTTCCGGTCCGATGGTGGCTAACAGGAGCTCAAAATGAGCGATCAGCCTTGAAGCTGATCGCGCCAAAGGAAGCAAATGCGTACTCAGGAAGAATTGGCTGAGAGTCTCTCTGATCAGCCGCTAAACCGCCAGCAAGAACTTGCCTGCAGGTTGCCTTGGTGAGTGACAACTCAGCTGGCAAAACACAGGGAAGCTTTGCGATCGCGCCGGAGCCGTTCGCGCAGGTGTTACCAGTCTGGCAGTTCGTCCCAACACTGCGGTGGAAAAGGTCGAGGCATCGGCCGTGAAAACTGCAAGATGGGTCTCTTGAAAGCCCTCCACAGTGTACCTGCCAGTAAATGTCGCAAGTAAAGGCACACATCCTTTACCCAGGAGCCCAATGGCAGGCGCACTTCACTTCTCTGAGGAGATCCTCAGATCTTGCCTGTGCTCGAAACCTGAGGTCTGAATCGGAACGATACTGCTGCACCTTTTCCATGCGACACAGCGGCCAAGCTCAAGACTTTAGAAACACAGTGTGTGCTGTCTGCATCGTTCCCTTCAGAACGGACATGTCCTTCGTTCCAATCGAAGCAGGCAGTTGCTGACAGCATCGAGACGGGAACGAAATTATTTCAGGCATGGCCACTCGTCCTGCGATGATTTCAGGTGCTGCACAATCTCAGGCAACAGCGACTGCCACTCCTCAGTGGAATCGAGACAAGCCCATGCTTGAGCAGCAAAACCTGTGAGCTTCTGAGACAAGAACTGCAGGGTAGTCGGTGATGGAAATCTCTTCCAAACCAGCAGACAACTGCACCTCGAGCTTTACCCAAACAAGTTGCAGGAAGGACTCACTCGCAAACCGTGAAAAACGTCTGGTTTTTCACTTAAACACTAGCAGCTGGTCATTGGTATTAAAACAACTCTCGTCGCCGTTGGCCAGTTCAAAAAATCCTGCCTGCACCTGTTTCGGTGCTTGAAGCATAAGTGAAAGGATATGCTGCTTGATGGCCTCAGTCGATCGCAGGGTGCATGTCAAGACACAAGGACAGCAACTTCACGAGTGCATGCAGATCAATAGTTAGCGACCGGCCTGTCTGTCGGAAGCTGAAATGCCACCAGCGCCTTCGACGCACCTCGAAAGCTCGACGAGCACTCCGACTTCGAAATGGAGCCAAAAGAGAACGCCCTAGTGTTCTGCAGGTCTGATCCTATGCAGCTGCTTTCCAAGATCGCAGCCACTGTCGCCGAATATAGTTCTTGAAATAAATCGCTCCAGCTTGCCTGCATCATGTCCATCCACATCATTTCGTATCCAACGTTGCGTCTAGGAGAGTTCAATGCCCATCTCTGGAAATGCACGGACATGCACTGCAACGAAACCTCACTCGCGCGACCAGGTTTGCCGGCCTAGCAGCCGCTTCCACGCTGCCAGAACGCAGGAGCTCTAGAAGAACCAATCCAAACCTGTCTCCACACGTGAAAGCACGAACATATCATCGGAGGTCGAAACACAACTACAGACAAACCACACAAGAGTGGTGCGCGCCCAGGCTGCACTTCGGCCGATCGCAGCTGTTGTTCAGCAGCTTTCATGGCCTCCCAAAAATACTTGCCCTGCAACATGATCAGAACAGAACCACTACAAACCGATCCATGTCTACATGGGCGTATGATTTACAGCCTGCATGTTTCCTGCCACCGTCTGCGTCAACAGCTGCGCCAACTGCCCCATCTGGGCAGGACTGACCGCCATCCCTGCATGCACCAAGCGCTCTCAGCAAAGTAGACTGCGAACAACGCTATTGTAGACATGTTTCGGCCGCCTGGTGCTGCAAAGCGCAGACTTGTCACATTTGGGAAGCGGGTGGACTCAGTACTATGTACCGCGCACAACTAGAAAGCCTTTTCGACAGAACTCTTTCACCAGCAGTGTCGTAGGCAACCGTAGCTTCATGCAAGCAATGAGAAAGCTACTTGAACGGATGCTTGCTCAATGTCCGGACGTTGTCATGGCGAAGCTGTAGCAAGGTGTTGCAACATCTGCTGCCGCAAACAAGACCAACACCTGCAATGCGATACCCATACGCGTGAAAACGATGGCGACATCATGTTCAACAGCAAAGCGACACATTAATGCTCCGACACCAAAATAACATTGCAAGGTCGTCAAAAACGTTTCCATATCCTTCGAATTCCAAAGATTAGGTTGTGTGTGCGGGACATGAACAACGGCATCAGCAGAAAGCACTCTCAATCCTGTTGGTACAACATGCATGGTCATATAGAATATGTCCACGAGATTTAAACCATGCAACGACCAACACGGCTGACATTTACCAATGAAACCCAATGAAAACCCGGCCCCAAACACACGGTGGGCAGAAGTCAAAATTACATAGGTCCTGATGCCATGTCCGCGAAACCATGTCCTCATAGTTGCATGTTTCCAAACTGAGGGAGCAGAATATGTTCAGCAATCGATTCAGTCAACAAGAAGGTGGGCATGTCGTCGTAAGACCAGCTCCGATCACTTTCACTTGTCTTTTTTTGACGATAAAGGAAATCCACACTGCAATGTTCTTGGCAACGACTGCTACTGCCGCACTCGGTCCATTGCAATCCAAGCCAGCAGAAATATAGACTTAACTAAACAAGCATGGACGAGTCCACAAAGCTGTTCAGGTGAAACATGTAGGATGCGACGCTGCTCGCTGGGTCCTGATGCTTTACACCCAACCACACTGTCTGGCGGAGGATGGAAAGCAGATGACCATCCACGCTGCATTTCGCTGGTTCGGCCGCACGAGAATCCAAAAATTGCCAACAAGTCTTTGCAACTCCGACAGAGGGTTAATGTGACTCAAAACTCTAACAAAAACTTGCACGCTGCCCGGGAACTCTGCCAGACAGGACCAGTCCTCATTCAAACGGCAAAACTCCTCTTGGAAAATGTGGCCACAAAAACGAAAATCTCTAAAATACTGCTTCCGCATGTTATGCACCTTGGAATAACAAAACTCTCAAGAAGCCATGCATCAGCTAGCAGCCTCCGGTTTTTTAAGTCGAATCTGCAGGTCCCTGCCGCACGTCACTGGGCGGTTTGTTTGTTTTGGCATGATGTGGCGCAATCGCTCGGTCCGCGGCAAGACCGAACGAGTTGTGTATGATGAAGATAAGAAGGTTTGTTCTTGAACAGATCAAAGAAAAAATCGATTTAAAATCGACTCTGTTTATTATAGTGTGGAAACATTTAATTTTTGTTTCAAGTGTGAACATTGTAAACAACATCTTGTTTTTTACAACGTGTTATCATAACCACAAATGTCTGAAAATGGTTGGAAAATATAGCCGGGCGCGGCGTCTCGTACGGTAAATAATTCTTTAATTTAAAAAAGAAAGGAGCCCGGCGCGCCGGAGGCGCGCCGCCGAACGGAAAAAATTTGTGTTGTTTGGCAAGCCCTTGTAAAACTGTCTGGAAACGGTCCAAAACCCTCCAAACCCTCCTTCAAACCCTCCAAAACTCTCTAAAACCTTTTCAAAACCTTCAAAACCTTAAAAACCCTTTTAAAAACCCTCAAAAACTTCCAAAACTATTTAAAACCTTTTTCAAAATCTTGAAAACCCCTTTAAAAGTCTTTTAAAACCTTTCAAAACCCTCCAAACTCTCTAAAACCTTCTCAAAAACTTTTGTTGAAACTTTCAAAATCCGAGAAAAGCTTAAACACGCTTTTGGGGAACGGACTTCAAAGCTTCAGGGCTTGGGTGGCTTTAAAAGGCTTCAAGGTTGAGAAGGGTGGCTTGAAAGGCACTGTGCTGGGAGAAACGAAGCAAAGGTGGCTTGAGACATGTTGAAAGACGTCTACCAATGTCCTGAAAAACCCATCAACCTTCTAAGTCCTCCAACTTTAACTGAGCACATGCTTTTGGTGTTCGCTCACCTTCGTGCACAGGATCGGTGTGTGCTCGTCATGGACTAGCGAGACTTGTCATCTTGCATCAGGTTGGCGGCGTGATGCGCAGTCGGTTCTGGCCAGTAGTTTGTGCTGTATGTGACAAGGAAGATGAACCGTGTTATGCACTCTTGTGTCGATCTTTCCAGAAGCCATTGGAAGAAGTGGATTTGGACCGGGAGAATTGGGGAGGTCACTTGAGCTCTCCTACCTTTTTGATAAATTTTAGTGCCCCTCACTTAGGGCTTCAAATGGAATGGATCTCCAGCACTCTGTCCAAAAACAATCACACGTTCTTGGTCTGTTGTGGCCTGTGGCATGAAAAGCCCACGTTTGTGGCCTCTTGTGGCCTGATGTGTCCTC